TAGGAAAAATACAAAGCATTTCAAACACTAGATTTAGTAATATTGTTAATGAGGATTAATAACTTCAATCGCTAAACATTTTGGCTATACAGTATATCATTAAGGATGATGCAGTGTATCACTAAGGACAATGTTAACAAGTTTTATTTCATTGTTAGTCAAACTGGAGTGAACCACTTCCTACCAAATTGACATTATACAGTCAAAGATAAAACGAAATAGTGTTTTTCCTTAAAGTCATTGACGATGTACTCCAACAATAACAACCTGTTCTTGAGGAGGTACCCCTAAACCCTGAATTTTATTTTCAATTTTTGAAATACATTGCGGCATTTTAGTCAAGATTTTGAGCTGGATAAATTCAAATCAAAGAAATATTTTGGAAGGTCTTATCTTATTTGATTTTTTTTTAGTTTTATTCATAAATGAATATTAATTTATATCGTCGGCGAAACGCAGAAACTGCTGAATGCTGGCTTCATCCGTGAGGTCAGGTACACCACATGGCTGGCGAACGTGGTCCTGGTAAAGAAGAACTTGGGGAAGTGGTGGATGTGCGTCGACTACACCAAACTGAACAAAGCATGCCCCAAGGACTCATACCCCTTGTCGAGCATTGACAGGTTGGTCGACGGAGCCTCCGGACATGCCCTCCTCAGCTTCCTCGATGCCTACTCCGGGTACAACCAGATAATGATGCACCCACCTGACGAAGTGCATACATCCTTCATCACCGACCACGCCAACTACTGCTACCGGGTGATGCCCTTCGGCCTCAAAAATGCAGGCGCAACCTACCAGCGGCTGATGGATAAGGTTTTCCAACAACAGATCGGGAGGAACATGGAAGTCTACGTCGACGACATGGTAGTCAAGACCACCTCGGCAGCAGACCATGCTGCCGACCTCGCCGAAGTATTCGCCCAGGTCAGGAAGCACAACATGCGCCTCAACCCGGAGAAATGTGTCTTCGGCGTCCAGGGAGGCAAGTTCCTCGGCTTCATGATCACTAGCAGAGGAATTGAGGCCAATCCCGAGAAGTGTAAAGCAATCATACAGATGCAAAGCCCACAAATGGTGAAAGAGGTCCAACGCCTAGCTGGACGGCTGGTCTCATTATCCCGTTTCATCCCCAAACTCGCGGAAAAGGCAGGGCCCATTTTCACCCTGCTGCGAAAACCAAAAGACTTCCAATGGACGGATCGGTGCGAAGAAGCTTTCCGAAGCTTCAAAACCTTCCTCACAACCCCGCCGATCCTACAGAGGCCGGATCACAAAACCGACCTCCTCCTTTACTTGGCCGTAGCAGAAGGCGCTATCAGCGCAGTAATAGTACAAGAGCACCAGAAAGTGCAGACACCAATCTATTTCATCAGCCGAGTCCTCCAAGATGCGGAGAAGCGATACCAGATGATCGAGAAGCTGGCACTAGCACTCGTCACCGCAGCTCGGCGTCTCCGACCCTACTTCCAGAGTCACCAGGTGGTAGTCAAAACCGACTACCCCATCAAGCAAATTCTGCGAAAGCCCGAGCTCGTCGGACGGATGATTGCGTGGTCAGTAGAATTGTCTGAGTTCGGCATCCAGTACGAAAGTCGCGGACCCCTGAAAGCCCAGTGCCTGGCCGACTTCGTAGCCGAGCTCACACCTACCACTGCCGAGGAACCTCAGGTGTGGACCTTACATGTGGACGGATCCTCCAACTCTAAGGGTGGTGGTGCAGGCATCATATTGGAGGGACCAAACCAAGTCACTTTGGAACAATCCCTTAAGTTTGGCTTCAAAGTGACCAACAACCAGGCGGAGTACGAGGCACTTCTCGCGGGATTAAGGCTAGCCCGCGACCTCGGAGCCCGAAAGGTGAGTTGCAACAGCGACTCAAAACTCATGGTGGACCAGCTCAGCAGAACGTACCAAGCAAAAGACACTCTGCTGCAGCGGTACTTTCACACTGCGTCCCACCAGATCTCGTCCTTCGACAAATTCACCATAAAGCATGTGCCGCGAGAACAAAACGCCCGAGCTGACCTCCTATCAAAGCTCGCCAGCACCAAAAGGCCTGGACAGCACCGAACCATCATTCAGGAAACCTTACACTCACCCAGCTTAGACGACAAAGTCATCAACGTCAGTGACAATGAAGACCTGGGATGGATGGCAGACATCTGGAACTACTTGAAAGAAGGAACCCTGCCCAAGGCCAAAGACGAAGCTCAGAAGATAAGGATGAGATCGGCTAAGTTCATCATCATCGGAGATGAGTTATTCAAACGTGGAGTTTCTTCTCCACTACTCAAATGCTTGACCGCGTCTCAGACAGCCTATGTCATCAGAAAAATTCACCAGGGGATATGCGGCATGCACTCCGGGGCGCGCTCAATGGCGACCAGGGTACTCCGAGCTGGGTACTACTGGCCCACTCTAAAGTCGGACTGCCAAAGCTGTATTCAAAAATGTAAAGAGTGCCAGCAATTCGACGACACACACCGGCAACCACCCGAAACTCTCCACCACATGATGTCGGCATGGCCTTTCTCCCAGTGGGGAATGGACATTCTCGGACCATTCTCCCCTGTGAAAGGTCAACTGAAATTCCTCCTGGTGGCAATCGATTATTTCACCAAGTGGATTGAAACATGTCCACTCGCCAAAATTACCACTGAGAACGTGCAAAAATTCACATGGAAGAACATCATTTGCAGGTTCGGAATCCCTCACACTCTCGTAACCGATAACGGCCGATAGTTCATCATGCAGGGATTCGAGGACTTCCTCCGAGAGCTCGGTATCAAGCATCTCCCGACCTCGGTAGAACACACCCAAACCAACGGCCAAGCCGAAGCAGCCAACAAAGTCATCCTCCGGGAACTCAAGAAATGGCTGGGAAACGCCAAGGGACAGTGGCCCGACGAACTTCCTAGCATCCTCTGGGCGTA